CCCCCTTCTTTTTGCTCCCCCCCCCCCCCCCACCCACCCTTAACAGCTAGCTTTTAAGGGAGGGTTCTCTAAGTGCTTGCATGCTTATCAATTGGTATCAGAGTTGGTCGTCAGTGTCTCGGAATTAGCTACCCATGGGAATGACCATAAAAGCTGAGTGAAGCATCATAGAGAATCAGAGATGTAGAGTGCAGATGCTGAGACATCGATTCTCAAGGCAGTGCTATTATGATAGGGATTTGGGTATAATGGGATGCCCAAGTCCCCATCAAGTAGTACGTGATGCACAATGGAGTACTTAAGTGGCTTGGTTCTCTCCCCTTAATAGCTAGCTTTTAAAGGAGGATTCCTCAAGTGCTCCTATGCTTATCACATCTACACAGATCAAAGCTCAAGGAATGCAAACGGGTAGTAGGGAAGGGTTGAATGAATGACAGAAAAGCTTTTACCCAAACAAATGATCAATCACAGCGATCTCAAACTACAAAAAGTTTTTTGTTTTTTAAATTGTGTCCTTCAAATCTGCACTGGAGACCAATTTGGATAAACATAAACACTTAAACAAGAAAAAAAAATCATATGAATCAATGAGGAAAATGAATCAAGTTTCTTACAGGTTAAAATCAATTTATGCACCTCAATTTTTCAACAGCTCTCTTATTTAACTTTTCAATTAGTTGATTTTAAATTATGGGAGGAGTTTGATCCATTTCAATTTTACCAGATTTCCTTTTATTTTATCCTCCTATATAAGTATTTGTAGAGAAGTTTATCCAAATTGGATCTAAGCCGGTCTCAGCTTTTCAAGGGAAATATAATATGCACAGCCAGCATATAAGCAGAATGAACCCCCCTAGTCAGATATAAGTGCCTTTGATTCCGAGGGCATCTTAAATATGATCCAAATTCAGAAAACTCAAATAAAGTATTCTGATCTTAGTTCACTGAAGCAACTCTTGTTCTTGTTTTTCTCTTTTTAATCGAAATTGAAACAACATTATAAAATCACATTACACATGAACCACTAGGAGCAAACGCCTATCTTTTGATGTTTTATTTTCAAGAATTCAGAAGGTTATAGAATGATTTCTCAAATCTCAGCCACAACAGAAATGGAAAGAAAAAAAAACTCAAAGTAGAAACATATCAAGGTCACTACACGACTAACTAATTAATGAGTAAGCATTTGACAATAAACAAACCAAGGACAAACCTTTCTCAAGAACCAAAATCATCCTAGCACCCCCAGCTCATACATTAAACTTCCAAGAACGCTAAATAAATAAAAACTGAAAGGGAAAAAAGAAATTAAAAAAAAAAAAAAAAGTATAAACTGCACCACATCAAATACGAAGAAAGTGCTTTCCATAGTAACATACAGACTTAAATTTCGCAGCCTAATAAAATATAGCAAGGGTAACCATTAACCAATACCAAATTATGCAAGGTCCATGTAACATATATGATTCGGCCAGTTATTCTCACTCATTAGGATCATTAAATTGAAATCATAAAAAATATAAAAAAAAAATATAAAAAAACTGACCCGATGAGTGCATTCGTTCTATCCTAAAGACATCCTTAACAAATAACCATTTTGTCAGGCATCAAGAAATTTAACATCAAAGTTTTGTTTTTTCCTAAAGATTCTAAGAAAAATGGATGCAAAACATTTAAGGATAAAAAAATAAAAATAAATAAAAAACTGACCCGACGCGAAGAGTAGCTAGAGACAGAACCATTAGGGGAAATGGCATGCACTTTGGTGTCACTTCCTTTGAAACTGATTGCATTCTTCTTGAAAGTCGCAACCTTGGCCGTTGTAGCATTTGGGCAAAGAACAAATTTGGACGTAACTATTTGCACAGAAGCTGAATCCATCGTTGCTCAATGAACATAAACATGAACACCTTGAATTTTTTCACACAACCTACTTCCTTCCTCGTACAAATCGCTCGTTTTTCACACCAACTGGGGACTCCTTCTCGTAGTTCACGACGCGGGTCCATGGGTCGTGGATTACCCGAATTCTATCCCCTTTGAATTCGGATTCACTTTGTGGACTCAACCAGGCCCATTTTTTATATATAGTGGGCTTCGGAGCCCAAACACCGAACAGTGACTCAAGTTCAAGGTTAATAATATTCCTTTTAGTTTTAGGAAAAGAGTAAATATGATACGAACCACTACTCTGTCTAACCACATTAACCAGAAAATAAAATGTCACAAACTTTCATTAAGAAAATAAATATTCAATATTATTGATATACTCTTTCAATATTTTTATTTGATAGTTTCATAAATAAAAATATTTTTATTTTAAAAATGTTGATTTGAATTTAATTAAATTATTTTTATAAATTTGATTTAATATAAGAAAAAATAGTTATTTTATTTTCAATTTTCTTTATTTATGTTCTCACTGTGATTTATTTTGTACCTCCAAAACTCTCTGACTCTAAGAAGGAACTGCAAAATAATATATGCAAGAGTATAATAAGAATGGCTGAAAATGAAAATTCCACCTCAATTTGTCCTCCCTTCGTTCCATTGTCCTACAAATATACACACACTTAATGTGTCTTAGTTTTTCTTCTAAATATAATAAATATGAATAAATGATGTTAATATGTTGTATGGTGTGTAAAATTTTGTTAATGTGTTATTAAATTACAACCGTTATGTATAATAATTGTACTCTTCAAGACTTGGGACACATATGGATTTTAGACTTTTAGACTCGAGATCCAAGGGTTATATTATACCGTTGGTTTTTTTTTATAACGAGTAAAATGGTAGTTATGATATTATTCTCTATATAATTATTAGTTAAAATTTAATAGTGTCTAATTTAACTTTTTTTTTTTTGTTGTTGTTGAATTGAGATTAGTAAAGATTTATTTGAAATTTTTAATACCAAAAGATCTTAAGTAAATATGTCAATTAAAGTAGAATTTTAATAGTCATAGAGATTTTAGACCAGATCGTAAATCATATATTAAATATACCTTTATCAATGAATAATATACCTTCATTATTTTTTATTTATTTATTTTCTAAATATCCTTTTTTGAAAAGTATTTTTTAAAAAATAAAAAATATACTACCAGAAAGTAATTTTTGTGGAAATATATTTATTAGCTTCCAAAAAGTAATTTCTTCAAGTATATTTTTTTACTTCCAAAAAACATACTTCTTAAACGTATATTTTAGCACTCACCTCAAATTGAAAAGGTAAAATTATTTCCCCTTTAGAAATAATGTACTTCTAAAAAAAACTTTTTGAAAGATTAAAATATATTTTTGAAAAGAAGTTTCTAAAAAAATATATTTTTACTCTTCCAAAAATTACTTTGTGGGAATACATTTTTTCTCTTAAAAAAATATTGTTTTCTCTCAAAAAAATATTTTTTGAAATGAAAGTATATTTTAAGAAGAAAAAAAACATAATATAATAAAAAAAACATATTGTTTCTAATCAATAATTCATCGTAAAATTAATAAGTCATATCTTTGATAGCAATATTTTTAGAAGATTCACGACCTTATATTCAATGAATGCAATATTAAAAATACAGTGAAAAAATTAGAATTTAAAAAATGTTAAAGTTAAGAGTGCATTAAAAAAATAGGATTTAGAAATAATAAAAAATGAGTTGGTAAAAGCCTTGATTAATATCAATAAATAAAAAATAAAATAAAGAGATGTGTGAATAGTATATAAAAAGGAATGGAGTAGAAAAAATAATATAGAGTAGAAGAAGAAGGGATGAATAAAAAAATAACTTTTTGAAAATAAAAATTTATTTTAAAAAATAAATTAAAAAGTATTTAAAAAATTAAGAAGGAACATATTTATCATAAATAGGAGATTTATATAACAATTACCTATACCCTTTATAATTTAGACCCACTTTTTGTATTAACCACTTACGTTGTATATATATCATTGTTAAACCTTTGGGCCAACCTTGTTCCAACTTCCAACTTCCAAACGTGGGTTACCATGTTCAGTTAGTCAACAATATCGACAGTATCTAAACACTGACAATGACAATTAAGGACCAAACCATAATCACATATTAACATACATTTATATATATTATTAAAATAAATTTTCAACTTTAGAGAACAACAATGAACACATATAAATAAGTTTAACTAAGCTTAGTACAATGTTATAAGAGTATCTCTAATGAGGTTGTTTATAAGCAACTTCTGCGCTACATCACTGCCAAATCAATTATGGCTCACTTTATGAGTTATTTAAATTTTAGTAGAATTGCTTCTACAAGTAACTCTACTAAAATTTAAACAACCTATAAAATGAATCAGAACCGATTTAACAATAATGTAGCACGTGGAGTTACTTGTAAACAACCCCGTTACAAATGCTCCGACAGTCGTTGAAATTCAGTGAAAACAAAATTAGCCAACATCACGTGAAAGTCCAAGTTTTAGTAACTAGTGGAACTCACGCGTTGCTTGCAATATAATAAGACTCTGACACATTATGCAATGGAAAACCGTGTTGTTGACTTTTCCTACCATAATCAAAATCTAGTCCCCAAACAGAGTTTGTGGTCTAGGACAAACGCCACAAAATTATGCCTCTAGTTAGGGTTTCATTTTCATCTTTGTAAATATGAAAAGAAGTGTTTGAAGTTTTTTTTTTTGTTAAGAATAATTAGATATTTTGATTATTTAAAAGAGGATATTTATTTGAACACACGATCATTTTCCAACCAATAAATTTCATCTATTTATTTTCCTTTCAGTAAAAGATATAAAACTATTATATACATGGCTATGAGTATTATAGGCAATTCTTGACCTATTTTAAAATTAATTGCTCATGTTTTGATAACTTTAAATAACTTATTGCTTTCAATTTATAAAAATTAATTGTATACTGCAAGTTTAGATATTTTAAATTTTTGTTGAGAGTTAAAAATTTTCGTAAATGCAGTGAAATTCACAGAAACAGGCAAAAAGAGTTGATTTGAAAGGCAAAAAGGTTGAAATAGAAAGAAGGAAGGAATAAAGGATATACGAGTTCCTCCAAATTCCAAAGAGTGCCGACACGCATAAAGCATCGTTACAAGAATATATCGTAATTACCATTAATATTTTAATAATATTGATTATGTTAAATTGTATTTTTTAATCTCGTATTATAGTAGTATAATTTTAATCTCTTAAATTTTTAATTGTATTAATTGAGTCTCTCAAATCCTCTTTAATTAATTTATAAATTAATAAATTAACTAGATGGCATCCGCGAGCTTTTACACGTTCAATTTACTTGTGCTGCTAGAGAATAATTAAAAGACAGAAGATGAGAAAGAAAAATAAAAGGTACCTTTTTACTGCACCATAGGTTGACAATTTTTTATTCTTTTCCAAAAGTTTAGATAAGTGCAACACATAATTTTATGTATAGTAAGAGTTGATAACTAATTTTTTTAAAAAAAAAAATAATAAAATTATAGATCACATATCTTATTCTCAATACTGATTCACATAAAAAGATATAAAATGTATATATAAAAAATTATAATAGAAATAATGAAATTTAACCAACTGTTTTATCTTTACAAAATTATAATAGATTGACATTTATTTATATTTGGACAATTTTTATATTATAATTGATTAGCTCTTCATCTTAATTTCATTTAATATTCAAGTCATTAATTTAATTAGAGGGAAAAATGTTCTTTTTGTTATTCATAAAACATTTAACATGATAATTAGTTTCGTATATATAGAGTCTCTTTTAGTCCAACTTATGTCTGACTTAATTAATATTTTTTAAGGAAAAATTAGGTCAAATATAAGTTCTTTAAAAATAGTAAGTAGTTTATAATTGGTGAAATAATAATAAAAAAAACTGTTGAAAAAACTAATTCAAAGAGCTTAAGTGAAACTTAAGCAGAATTTGTTTGTTAGTACTTGCTCCGAGTCTCAATACTAAGTACTGTTTTCTATTTTATTGTGTTTAAATTCATTATATATATATATATCTATATATATATATATATAT